GATCTGCCCCCACCCCCTCCCTGTCATAGCACCCTGGGGGGTCAGCCATATTTCAGTGGTTTATCCCACATAGATGCGTTTACTGATTTTCTCTGTGTTAGCCATCATGGTGGACAGCGAGCGCCTGGATGAGAGGAGGCGGCCATGTTGAATCTGCGTGTTTTCTTCACAGGATGCTCCTTCGGCGGTCGGTTCTACTCCCTGGACGACACCTGGCACCCGGACCTGGGGGAGCCCTTCGGCGTCATGCACTGCGTCCAGTGCCGCTGTGAAGCGGTAAGTCCTTATAAGGCGCTTCCTGTGAGGTCAGAGGAGCGGCCGCTCGGCTCACTGCTGTGTCTGCGTGTCTGGCAGCTGAAGAGCCGGCGAGGGAAGGTGTCCGGGAAGGTCGACTGCAGGAACATCAAGCAGGACTGTCCCGCCCCCGACTGCGAGGACTCGGTGCTGCTTCCAGGACACTGCTGCAGGACCTGTCCCAAAGGTGATCCGCCTTCAGCTCAGTTTTCATTGTTTCCACATTAAATCAATTACAAGAAGAAAAACATTTCTAGATTCAATTAGAAAAAATGTGTTTTTGTTTTTTTTGTAGTGAAAACATCGTCAGCAAAGATTAGAAATGTTGACGGATTGATTTCTCTTTAATAAATAATTTATCTGAAGCTCTTTCTGATCAGCTGCAGACTTTTCTCCTCATTCTTCAATTGATTGTGAGCAGCTTCCTCCAGCATAATGCTGCCTCCACCGTGCTTCCTGCCATGTTCTCTCCGTGGTTCTGTCCTAGCTGGCGCTACTAGCTCGTTTTTATGGAGAGTAGGCAGACAGGAAACAGGGTATGAGAGAGGGAGACGGGTCAGACTCGAACCCGGTCCGCCTGCATTGAGGACATGGGTCACGCCCCTCCGTACGGACAGATGGTGGAAGCAGCAAACAACCCAAATGATTTTCCACTCATCTCTGTCAAAACGCCACCGCCCCCCCCCCCCCCCCCCAGCCTCACCTGCGGCCCAGCACACGCGGCTCCGCCTCATTACAGAGCCACTGTGACAGACTGACATGCTGGGTGGGGGTTTTCCTGCTCTGTAATGGAAAATGAAGCTGGAGTTCTGCTGCGGTCGGCTGTTCAGCGGAGTGTGTTTGTTTTAGCTTTGGCAGCTGGTGTGTTTGTGGAAGTGATGGAAAGCGTGTGTGTTGTGTCTGCAGGTGTGTGTGCCTGTTTTTACCGCATGCACCTGAAGATACAGGAGAAGTGAGAGTGACGCAATGCAGAAGCCTGGGAGAGGCGAGGGACGTCTGGTGGGACATTTTATAGCAGGCAGCTCAGAAAAGCAGGCGGTGGTTTTCATGCTAACGGCTGAAGCAGCTGCAGGTCTGACTGCAGCAGAGCGCTGGCGGCCATTACATCAGGATGCGCTGCAGCTGCTCACCAACACTGGCTCTTTGTTGGGGCGGCGCTCCAGCGGCGCTCCCAGTGCTTCCTGAGCTGGGAGACGGATCCAGGCCAGGAGAGGCGGAGCCTCCAGGAAGGTTCTGACCTCCGGGTTACGCCGGTCAGACGTCCAATCAGCTGAGACCAGCCTGGTCAGGACTTTGTGACCTCATCATTTTATCAGCAGAGGAAGTTAGGATGGAGGAGATGCCAGGCGGGGGTGGAGCCTCACCTCCTCCACCTGTGAGGATGGAGGCCTCAGTGTGGTGATCTCTGCTTTTCTTCTTCTGCAGGTTCAGACGGTAAAAAGCAGACGGATTCTCCTCTGGACAGCTTCGAGTTTTTCCATGAGAAGGGCAAAGAGGACGACCTCCACAAGTCCTACAACGACAGATCCTACCTGAGCTCTGAGGACACCGGGCTGGGGGAGGGCCGCACAGGTAAGCTGAACCTCCAGGAAGGAGGCGGGGCCTGTGCCTCCTCCAGCTACTGAAGGAGCAGTCTACCTTTTCTCCTCCTCTGCAGACTTCGTGGCCGTGCTGACGGGAGTGACGGACTCATGGCTGCCCAGTTCCAGCGGAGTCGCCAGAGTCCGTCTGTCTCTGACCAGAACCACACTCACCTTCTCCGTTACGTACCAAAGGTAAAACCAGTTCAAACCAGAACCAACCAGTCGCCTCTTTGTGTTTCTCTAACATTTCTGGTCTCTTCTTTTCAAATAATTCGCTTCCAGCTGTTGTTGATCCAGAAACCAGATGTTCTCATGCTGTCTGCTTCCTGTTTCCCCAGAATGGGCCGCCCCAGTAAGATCACCCTCCTGGACTCAGACGGGACCCCTGCTTTAGAATATAAAGTCCCCAAAGGACAGGTGGACATGGTAAGACCGCGTCCCGTCCTCCATCTGGGTCTGATTTGGTTTCCTGAATCCTGTCCTCATGAGCTTCTGTAGGATCAGAAACCATAAACATGTGCAGACGCCTCCTCATAAATCACAGCACCTATAGTAGAGTGGATGAGCGCTGAGGTCACATGTTAAGGTCAGTCTGCAGCACTGCATCGGATTTCCTGCCAAAACACACACGTCTCCACATTCCACCTCATCCAGCGAGGCAGGAGCCCCTCGACTGGCCCGCTGTTATTCCTAGATAAAGCGTCAAGCTCAGAGGAAACACCACAGCCCTGCAGAGGGGGGGGGGCGCTCAGCGGCAGGTTCCCGTGGCGCGGCCGCCGCCATGTTTCTGTGTTCAGTCGGTGAAACATCTGAGATCATCTCTGCTGACTGAAGCCTGTCTGATGGGTGGCGTCTGCTCAGACCGACGGCTTCTTTAGGGGGATCAGAGTAAACGGGGGTGTTTCTCTAAACTTGTTTCCGTCTGCAGATCTGCGGCGTTTGGAAGAACGTGGCGAAACCCGCCATGCGGCAGCTGCAGTCTGAGCAAATGCGCATCAGGATGACGACGGCGGCGGGCAGACGGGAAGAGGTGGAGGGAAAGATCATCAAGCACAGGGCGCTGTTTGCTGGTGAGACGCCATGTTTGAAGATCCTCCGACCAT